AGAATCGTTTTCTATCGCAGAGAATTGTTTGCTTGAGCAAATGCGATTCCCATTGATTTGCGTGTTTCCAGTCATTTTTTCAAACTGTTCTCAGCGATTTCACAAGTCCAGTGATACCAATAATAGTATTTTCGTGTAGTATAAATGAATTTATAATTAAAGGCCGACAAAAGTAATAACAATAACAAAACAATAAACAGAAATCAAAATTTCACATATGTTTATTTCACCAGTGAAGCAGCAAAGAAGCTCCTCCAAAGAAGTATGAAATTCTCTAAAAGAGATTTATCGAAATGAATGGCTTTTGTTCACGACAAGTGAACTTGACTTGGAGTGGATCTTTGCAAAGTGCGAGTGATGTGATGAGTTTTGAAAAATTTACAGTTTGAATCCATAGTTGAACATCGACACTAATCAAGTATACAATTTAATAAGTTCATCACCAACAGCGGCCGGCGTTAAAATTCCCAAATCAGTGAATAACAAATTGATGTACTGAGGTGGTGTGTAGTCAACACGAGGATGTTCATCTAACAAACGACTTGCAGTCTTATTTTCATTTTCCTCTCCGATATTTTCATTTTGTTCTGGCCGACGAATTGATGCGGCGTACTAAAATTACAAAAAAATCACATTTCAGATAGATTTCCATCGAATATAGACGATATATAAACTGAACGAGTTAAATAATGCATTCATTTGAAGTCAATTCTACACAGAATAATGAGAAAATACGTGTTCATGAACGTAGAGATGAAACATCAGATAAATAACTTTTTTTCACAGCATTTTCCATAAAAATTAAATGTTCTCCCTCAATATTTTTCATTCCAAACAGAAAATAAGCTCATTCTTCAACAAATCACTACACAAACGCTACTTCACGACGGAAAACAACCAGCAAAAGCAATAAAGAACTGAAAACGTGAGGATTTCATTTGATTGACTCTAGGTACAGAGAAAGATTGCAATAAATCACTGAATTTATAAAATCACCTTGAATTCAACTGGAATATCGCTTTGATTCAGTGGATATTCTTTAACAAATTTGATACTTTCAGCCATCACGTAAACGGGTTTGTTTATTGATTTTGCACATACTGCCATACAGAGGGTACCGATCTTGTTTATAACGCCACCCGTTTCCATTACACCCTCGGCACCAATCAACACCATGTCAACTGATTCCATTATGTACCTTTAATGTGAACATTATCATTTCTTATCAATAATATTTTCATTATTACGACTATAATCACCGCACCTTAACGTACTGCCACTACTAGAAAGAAGCAGAGCTTCTCCCTGATTGGAATTTCAGTTTTTACTTGGAACGAAAAGCAGTGAACAACCTTTTATCATTTAACGATTGTCAGGATTTTGTTTGCAAATTACTTCACTTCGAATTTAGTTTAAAATAACAAGGTATTCACATTATTCCATCAGAATACACTGATAAAATAAAACATTTAAGCAACGAACCCTATAGCTGAATCCAGGATCAGTGTTGTCTGAATGCCCGCATTCCTCAGAAGATTATACATCGTTCTACCTCAAATTTCGTAAAATTGTTCGATATGGATTTCTCTTTTCAAATTCAGTTAAATGAAATATTAAGACTGGATATTGCACCAAATCATTGAAGTCATTCCACTCTTTCATTAAAGAAGTTACGATTCATTAATAATAATCAGATTACGGTTTTGTTCTATAAAACGTCTATTCAAAACGGTTCAATTGAAACTGAATCCAACTTCAGAAAATTCATAAAAACTCGCAATATGAACCAAAATCAAATGCAAANTCCATTATGTACCTTTAATGTGAACATTATCATTTCTTATCAATAATATTTTCATTATTACGACTATAATCACCGCACCTTAACGTACTGCCACTACTAGAAAGAAGCAGAGCTTCTCCCTGATTGGAATTTC